TGGGCATCAAAGAAAATTTTCAATAAATGTTTGGGCTGGCATAATAGATCAGTATTTAATCGGGCCTTATGTTCTTCCGAACATATTAAATGGGCCAGGATATCTCCACTTTTTAGAAGATATTTTGCCAGTACTCCTAGAAGAGATACCGTTACAAATAAGGCAACGGATGTGGTACCTACTAGATGGCGCTCCTCCTCACTTTGATTTAAACGTACGGCAGTTTTTGAACATTAGATTTCCTCAAAAGTGGATAGGCAGAAATGGACCTACTAAGTGGCCTCCGAGATCTCCGGACTTAAATCCATGCGATTTCTTTTTGTGGGGTCACATGAAACAACTGGTTTATAATGAACCTATTAATAGTGTTGAACAATTAACCAATAAAGTTAATGCGGTAGCCGAGGAACTACGACAAAATCCAAGACTAATTTCTAATGTTCAAAGTTCTTTGGAAAGACGATTGCAAGTGTGTGTAAATAATAATGGACGGCATTTTGAACAATTACTGTAATAAACTTTATTTTGAATTAATTGGTTTTGCTACGGCAACAGTGCAATTTCTATGGGTAAGTTCAATTTCGATTTATTTTACTTCTTTAAATATGGAAACTAGTAGGTCGGAAAAGGGGACTCTTCCCCAATATTTAAATTTTAGAATTTGAAGTTAAAATTGGTGCCAATCGTTTTTGGTCATTACATACTATTCCCCATTTTAATATGTACGTGTATTTCAATAACACCCTGTATACAACATAGCGAATGAATGAAGTCTTTTAAAATTGTATGACAATATAAAAACAATCAAATATGTATAACTAGCTGCAGGGTATTTTGCTTTAAAAGTGTATAGGCTTATTCAACCCTCGTTTATAGACCACTCTGTATATTTAAGAATAATTGTTAAATATGGTCATACAACTTTTATATACAATGTGGAATAGTCAAATAGTCAATTGTATTTAAAATAAGAAAATTAATATTGGCCACTCTTAAGTGACACACACTATATAAAAGTTTACGTTAAAAAAAAGGCTAAAAATACCAATCGACGTGTCCGAACGTTTTTCAAAACACACCATTTATTTATTACCGAATTTATTCCATTTGGCTGCTCCACACTATATATTTTTTTTCGTATTTCGAATAATAAATCAGCCATTGATTAATTATTAATTATACACTCTATATATGTTAATATCGTTGGATAGGTAAATTTATAAGGAATTTTATATTAAAATAATATACAGGGTGTTTTATTTGAAAAATTTAATTAATTAAACTTAAAATTAGCCATATTTAAGACATTTAAAAATACTCTGTATAACGTCGGCTTAATATGAAAAGTGCACAAGTCCAAATTTTTTGATTTTGCGATTTTGACTGAATCTGGTTCACCGCTGTTAAAGCTACAGAAATACAGGGTGTTATTGAAATACACGTACATATTAAAATGGGGAATAGTATGTAATGACCAAAAACGATTGGCACCAATTTTAACTTCAAATTCTAAAATTTAAATATTGGGGAAGAGTCCCCTTTTCCGACCTACTAGTTTCCATATTAATAGAAGTAAAATAAATCGAAATTGAACTTACCCATAGAAATTGCACTGTTGCCGTAGCAAAACCAATTAATTCAAAATAAAGTTTATTACAGTAATTGTTCAAAATGCCGTCCATTATTTTTTACACACACTTGCAACCGTCTTTCCAAAGAACTTTGAACATTAGAAATTAGTCTTGGATTGTCGTAGTTCCTCGGCTACCGCATTAACTTTATTGGTTAATTGTTCAACACTATTAATAGGTTCATTATAAACCAGTTGTTTCATGTGACCCCACAAAAAGAAATCGCATGGATTTAAGTCCGGAGATCTCGGAGGCCACTTAGTAGGTCCATTTCTGCCTATCCACTTTTGAGGAAATCTAATGTTCAAAAACTGCCGTACGTTTAAATCAAAGTGAGTAGGAGCGCCATTTAGTAGGTACCACATCCGTTGCCTTAATTGTAACGGTATCTCTTCTAGGAGTACTGGCAAAATATCTTCTAAAAAGTGGAGATATCCTGGCCCATTTAATCTGTTCGGGAGAACATAAGGCCCGATTAAATACTGATCTATTATGCCAGCCCAAACATTTATTGAAAATTTTCTTTGATGCCCAGTTTCCCTAATGGCGTGAGGATTTTCATCACTCCAAATATGTGTATTGTGCATATTAAACACGCCATCACGAGTGAATGAAGCCTCGTCAGTATACAATAATATTTTTATAAAATCAGGAATATCAACACATTTTTGAATCATCCATTCACAAAACTCCACTCTCTTTTCTTCATCACCTGGATATAAGGCCTGGACTTTTTGGATGTGATAAGGATGTAAACCTTGTTCTTTAAGTGTCCGCCACACAACAAATGAGGACACTCCAATTTCAAGACCTAGTCTTCTACAACTTAATTGAGGCCGGTTTTCAACAGCTTCCAATATTTCTTCTTCGGCCGCCAATGTTCTTTGTGTTCTTGTTCTCCCTCGATCTGCATTGACACTCTCAAATTTTCCATGGTCTCTTAGATGCTGAACAGTTGAAATAAACGTACGACAGTCCGGAATTGTCCGATTTGGAAACCGTTCGCGATACAGGATTTGTGCTTGCCGAGAATTTTCTCCAGCTGCCCCATAAACCAGCACTATATCCGTTAGTTCAATATTCGTAAATAGTGGCATCGTAAAAAAATATTTAAAAGTAATCGTAACAACACTTTTTACCAACTTGGAAATGACGCGCTCGTGTTAGCCAGATTCGTAAATCAACTAAAATTTTAATAATCTATAGTTTTAAAAATGTATAGTTTAAAAACAATCATTTATCAAATATTCTAGTTTTTTGATAACGAGGGTAGTAAAAACCAGTCTTCGGAAATAGAAATTAATTCGAAAATCTTGGCAACATGGTTATTTCTTACAAGACTAGTTTTCTTATCATCTGACAAAAACTTGCATATTAATTACTGTTGATGTTTAAAATAGGTAAATAAACCTAATTTATATAGGTCATCCTCAACATATCAGTGAAGTACATTTGTTTTAGAATTAATTTTCAAAAATTAATAACTCCCTTAATAAGGGATATTTTTAAAAAATAATATTTTTCTACATTCAGTGGGGATCTGCGCAATACCCAATTTTAATATGTACGTGTATTTCAATAACACCCTGTATTCTTAGTTTACGAAAATTGTCACTAGATTTTACTAAAAACACTATATAAAGCTTGTAATAATAACGTAAAAATAAGTACAAGTGACTCAAAGTTATATTAAATCGATTATACTTCAACAAATATTGATCTGTAAACAATGTTAAACAATTTTGAATGGAGTTGTGCAATTTTCATAACAATGTAATTTTTATTTAACTATAAATTTTAAATAAGCCGTAAATTCGTTTTTTGTCTCTCCTGTCAAATTGTTTATTTTGTACATGCAATTTTCATACTAAGCCGACGAGTTCTATCATTACTATTCGTTAGCTTAGTATCTTATAAATCTGTACTTTAAACAATTTTGAAATCATTATAAACCTACCTAAATTATGATAATATAATTTGTGTTTGCATCATTCTCTAATTTACCTAACCTGTACGGCCTAGAGCAAATGTATGATTTTTTTGCGAAGCGACCTGCGATGGCCCCAGGCCGTACAGGTTAAGTAAACTGGTTCAATTTTTATAAATCATTTTACGTAAAAAAATAATTTCAGCACTCCGTGATGACTCCAGGCGATTTAGAGAATTAGTTCGTCAAAAAGATAAGAAAAACAATTTTTCACAGTTCAATATTATTTAACATTCATCATTTTTTTCTGAGTTTTCAATTTTCTAATTTTTTTAGTCACAATTCAGTTAGAAAAAGTTATATTTAACAAAAAAGAAAATAATAGAAAAACTAATGTACTCAATTATTGAATTATTTTCCTTATTAGTCCAAGGTAGGGTCAAGTATGGTCCAAGGTACAATTCCTTATTGTTTATCAATTGACTTCTTTTACTTAAATTTACAGTCAAAGCTAAAATATCAGGCAGAGAGTATAAAGAAACTATAAAACCGGTGGAACCTATAGCATTTTTTAAACATTCTGCTTTTGAAGAGGCGTCCTGATCTTTCCAGTGGGAAATAATGTCAAGAAGGTCTACAATGATTTAAATAGTACTTTGAAACTGAAGCATAGATTCGTGACGTTCAAACCATCTAACTTTTGCTTAAGAAGAAAATTTATTTTTGCGGAAGCATTTCTAATACCTTGAGCCTTTGAGATTTTTGAAATAGATAAATTTAATGAGTGGCTGGCACAAGGAATTCTAAGTGCATTAGTTAATTTTTTTTAAATTCTGTAACGGCTCCTTTTTGTTCACCAAGCATTAAGTTGCAAGTATCAGTTCCAATTCCTATACACTTATCGGGATTTAAATCAATTTTTTTAATAAAATTAAATAAGATTTGAACCAAAATTCTACCACTAACTGTTGGTTCTAATGTGTCCTCATCAAACATTACGTGACAATCAATAAAACCTACGAAATCTTCGTACAGTATCTTATTTATCGAAACATCTTCAATATGTTCAGTGTCTGGGACACATATCACATAATTTTTATCAAACTTCTGGGGTACCACAAGGATCTGTTTTAGGACCACTTCTTTTCATCCTATTTATTAATAATATAGGTAAAAACATCAACGTTACAAGTATTTTATATGCTGATGATCTAAAATTGATTTATAAGATTAAAACTAGTGATGATTGTGTTAAACTTCAGAAAGTTATCGATTTATTAGATGAATGGTCTCAATGTCAGTAATTGTAATGTTATTTTGTAGAAAAGATCATGTAATATATAATTACAAATTACGCAATGTATTTTTTTTCCTCTACATATTACATTAAATTTTGCTTTAGTTATATAAAAGTTTTCCCAAAAAGAAAATAAATAACAGATCGGTTTTTCAATGCTTTATTATTAAACTTTCTATATCTAAATTTTCAACCATTCTATCGATCCCCAATTCACTTACAAAGGCAGTTACATAGTAGCAAAAGACAAAAAACAAGGCTTGAATACACCTTTCAGAGAATGTCATTTGTTTCAATCGTTGAACATGAAAAAGATAGGTGAAAAATTGAACAGCGTTCAAAACGACTATATGTTCATACAGTATCAGCTCGTAGTATTGTTCGAAATTAAAGTAACACGAAGTTTGAGAATTCGTATTAATTTTCAAAGGTTCCGTCTTCTTGATTGGAGAAATTTTCTTATTACCACGTTCAGAAACTGAACAGTTTATAATTTCATCTGTGACAATCGAACAAGAATCAGAAGTTATGGACAGATCTGTATATTTAATAAAATTATTTTGTTTCAACCATTTTTTGTAGTCACTATCGTTGACATTAATTTCCAGCTTGGTATTCAATCGTACACCAAAGTGACTCGAATTGTTAAAAAGTGTTTTTTGAGATGTCAACCTAAAAATTAGAAAAATGTGTAATGCAGCTTCTTTGCTAAACAAATTTTTAAACTTTTATATAAATATAAATTCCTTGGTGGTATTTAAAAAGTATTTACTTTTTTTGTAGATAACAATTTATTATTTGCCTACCTGGAAAAATTCTGCATATTAAAATAGCTATACATATTCCTGAGACTCATATACCTTTCCGGTATTACACACGCAGGCAAATCTTCTATATTATCGGTAGAAACATCTTTATTCAAATTCTCGCTCTTATTCTTATACAATATTTTGTTACCGCTATGTATAAATTTAGTATCCAGGAATTGCAAACATTCAGACGAATCCTCGATTTTATTATTCAAATTAAAATCAGATAAGTGAACCTCGGTAACGCTTTCATTAACGTTTTTGGGATACATAAAGGGCTTGATATATCTGATACTACTACTAGGATTTGGTAGTGCTTTATATTCTTTATTAATTAAAGAATCGTACGGTTTTGGTTTGAGTTTTTCGTCAGATTCGGTTTCGGAATTGAATTTTTTTAACATGCTTGATACGTGTCTTATTAAATTTAATGCCTTTGCTTCTACTTCGGTGTTTAAAAGTGGTTCTGTTGAACTATCTTCATTTGTATTGAAATACTTGTGCATCAACATTTTTGCTTTCAGATTTTCGTTGAATAATTCGTCTTGTACAGTTGGATGATTAAAAAACGAGTTTGTATACATTTCGTTATTCAAATTATTTGGTTTTTCGTCAGATTTTTTCTCCAAATTGCAAGGAACTGCATTTATTTTGATTTTATTAGATAACAAATTTTCTACAAATTTATTTTGAAAACCATTCAGTGTTTTATCGGTAGTTGTTTTCGGAATTAATCCAATTTTACTATAACCATTAGGTATTGAAGTTTCATTAGTTTCTTTATTTAATATAGATTCTCCAAAATGATTCTTTATGTGGTCTAGTAAACTAGTATGACTTTTTTCTTCTTCTGTATAGTCAATTAAAAAGCCTTTAATACTATTTTTTAAATTTGGTTTTAAACTACTCCCTTGTTGGTCAGCGAATGTTACTCTTGGAGAACATCTTGGAGTTACTGGATTCTCCATCTGTTTAATATCAATTAAAACATTTTTATCTTCAACAGATGTTTGATTTTCAAGAAACATTAGGATTTTTTATAATCACAAAATAAATTACTAAAATATAAATTATTAAAAGACACACCACTGTCACTTTAACGAATTTTATAACATGTCAATCAAACTAGATTTTTTTAAGGTCCTTTCGCATATATAATCGCTGGATAGCATAACTTTAAAAGGATCAAGATTTTTTAACAATTATAGATTATTTTTAAGTAAGGTAAGTTGTACAAAATGAATTTTGCCGAAAGGCTAGAAACTGTAAATACCATAATAAAATTTTTCACCCATCACTGTCTTCCGAATGAAATAATTTCGGACAATGGCGCAGAACTAAAAAAATTCACTAGTAAAAGAACTTTTGGAATTACATAAAATTAAAATTCACTTTGTTACGTCACAGTATCCAGAATCTAATGGAATAACTGAAAGGTTTCACTCTTTTATAATAGAACATCTTCGATTATTAAATAATCACAATGAATATAAAAACGAACCCATAGAGCAAAAGGTAAAAAATGCCATTTTAGCATAATAATTTGGTTTATTCAGTTACAAAACTAAAACCGTTTGAAATTATAACGGGCAATTTAAGCAACGATTTCCCTTTTAATATTGAAATTGAACAAAAATTATTTATTTATTTATTCAAACATAAATGAAAAAATTCAAAATATGAAAAAAAAGTTATAGAAAAGGCTAACAAAAATCGAGAAGAATTTCCTAAAGATATAGCTACTATAGTCTATTTTTATGTATGAGAGAGTAATAAAACAGCATTTCTAATCCAAAACTTAGTACGGTCATTTTAAATATTTTTACAGAATTATCTAAATATTTCCTAAAATTGTAATAAATGTACCTGAGCTATTACAAGTTTTGGGTCTTTTATTGGTCCTTTATAAACATAAGCTGTACAAAACAATAGAAAAAGGTTTGGACAGGCCAAAAGCCCTGTGTATTAAAGATTACATAGCCGTATCTTAAGATTATTTTCAATTGATGAAATTGATGAAATTGATGAAATTGCAAAAAATCGTGGGATGATGGTGGTTAGATCACCACCATATCATTGCGAAGTAAACCCGATTAAACTGATATGGGCACAGATAAAGGGAGAAGTTTCCAGAAAAAATAATTCTTTTAAAATGAGTGATGTTATACACAGTTGTTTTTGAAGGCTGTAAATAATGTGAAGCCTGAAAACTAGGAAAAGGCAGTAAATTATACGATTAAAGAAGAAGAGAAAATGTGGAAGTTGGACAATATTACTGATGAAATAATCGAGCCACTCATTGTAAATATTGGTTGCGACAGTTCATCTTCTGATTTCGATTCTGATTTAAATTTGTAGGTAAGAAGTAGTTTTTATATTAAAATTATTATTTATGAACGTAACGTTGTTTAAAAGTCAAAGTTTAAACCCTTATACCTACATAACCCGTTTGACACAATGTTCCTAACATACCTTGTGGAAAAATAAAACATTTTAGAAAAAATTGCACTTTTTTTACCTTCAGCTGTTTAGAAGTTATAAGCAGGTTAATTAGGTGAAAATATAAGTGTATACTCGAGGAATAACTTCAAAAAATATTTTAACTGTCTACTAAAAGAAATGGTACGCCTATGGATTACGACAGCTTTATTATTTTAATACTCTCTCATACATAAAAATAGACTATAGACAAGGCAAGACAAAAAATAAGTATCAAGCCAAAAACATTCAAACGATAAATAAAAATAAAAAAAAAATATTCCTAGATATGGAAATACCGTTAAAAATATTCACCTATCTAATATTAAGAGACCTAGAAAAAACTTATGCTTTTATTTCAGATTCCTCGCCATTGGACAAGGAATATAAATCAAAAATACAACCCCAATTTAGGATTGCTCCCAATTCATTTAGGACCAGCAAAATTACAAAGAAATACTTATACTTTTATACTAAACCCACTTTTCGAAGAATATACTAATTTAAATAACCAATATGATTATTCAAAACTTAGTTATGTTAACTTTTTTCAAGATAGAAAGAGAAAACAACAGTAAACGCCAAATCTAAAGAAACAGCGCAAATGCTCAAGTTCTTTTACTTAAAAATCGCCACGCCCATTCACAATTTGAACCTTGTCCTTGCTTACGGTCAGTAGCGTAATGACTAGATCATTGTTTGTTTCTTGTTTCTGTTTTGACTCACCCTGTACAAATCTGTTGCGTAAGGAAAAAATTAGGATATTCTTATAAAAGAAGACTATCATTAAAAATGATTCGTCAAAAAATTTTGATGTTTGTATATTTCAAGGAAATGTTCGAGTTATACATGTATCTGGGTACTTTAATAGTTTTAAGAATATTTTTCCCAGTGTATCTATCTCATAATATATCACATTCTCTCATAGATCGAAAACGAGGAATAACTTAATTTGACTCACTGCTTTAGACGATGTAATTAATTAACCTAATTCAAAGGAAATGTTCAAAAGATGCCGCATATTATATCGAGCCTTTGAAAGTAAATACCAAAGAACTTCAGGAAAAGCGATATAGTTGTTAATAAAGCTACTCCCGAACTTCGAGTATAACAAGAACTTACAATTGAATTATTTCTACAAGTAGATGAAAAGAAGAATAATATGGCTAAATTGATTTTCTTGTACAAGAGTTAATTATATTTTCGCGACGTCTTTTGAATAATGGAGACGAAGAAGTAAGTGCAGAATTTAACTAGCTTTTGAATGATTATAATTTAAAGTCTTTTTTAGTGTTTCGTTTCCAATTTGACGAAAAGAAACATTTATGGAATCATCTTGGTGTTGTTTTATTCAGAAACTATTTCAATAGCTTGTCTATAAAACTAAAGTCCTTTCTGCTCAATTTTACCGGAGTTTTATATTTATACGACGTAAGAGCATGGTTGAAAGCCTCTAAAATATTCGAAGTAGTTGATAGAAATCTAAAGAAACCAGAAGAATCAGTAGCACTCAATAATACGTTCTATTAGGATACCATGTGACGAAAATCCTACATCAGGATATTCGTCCTCAATAAAAATAGTAAATATAGTAATTTAAATAACATACAAGGAAAATTGTTGCTTCATATTTTCTCTAGGATTAAATTTCAGTTCATTTACAGTTGGTCATAACCCTTCTAATCGGTCATTTAACCCTTATTGGTCGCCTGGTAATTAAAGCGAACTTCTCTGATTCTTGTGTACCCTTAGAACCAAATATTTGCTACTTAATCTACAGACTGACCAAATTTGCCGAAATTATATTCCCTAAGATAATGTAGCCCTATCTAAATTGTAAATATCTATTCGGGTCTCTAATTCTATTTGTTTTAAATCACAGGATTGGATTCTCGTATTCTAAACTTGCTTAAACTAATACGATTTTAAAAATATGTTTTTAAGATAAGTAAACTTAATGTTAATCAAATCAGCATCTATTCTAAAATAGGTATATACAAAATATATATTAAAAAAACGAAATTATTAAAAAAAATTACTTACATTGAACATTTAGAAGCACCGATGCATTAAGTGGCAACTCCAGCGCAATATGTCGAACATAACATGTCAATGTAGCGTTGTGGTGACCTCTGAGTACTCTTCCCAATCTTGCATCTGTTCTAGCTCCAACTTTTTGGTCACGTACCGTTTCAGTCAAATTCAATACTTCAAGTGGTACTTCAGGGATCTCCAGAAGGGCCGATGATCCTAAGGTGAGTTCCCATGAAAGCTGGGGTTTTGGATTTCCCTCGTCAACGACGCAGCATACTGTGAGATCTGAATTTTCTTTGACGGGGATAAAAGGATTTCCAGGATCAAGGATACGGTTGTCGATCATTAAGTAGGCCTTTTTAGGTGCATCTGAAATTAAAAAAAAAACAACAATTAATAAATATAGTTTAAAAAAACTAAAAAACACGCTTTTAGAGCATATTAAACTAAAAAGTTAAATATAATTTTTCAAATAAGCTTAAAACAATAATAAATGGAAAATACTAGTGTTTTTTATATTCATAATTGACCATAATTGTTTTATTTTTTAAAAATTGTAATTCGCTAGGTTTTTGGGACTGACTTAAAGCGCATGAATAATATAAAATTTTTATTATTTGTTTTAAGAATATTGTATTTGAAATTCTATATAATGGGCCATGTTCACATGTGAGATATGCTGTTTTATAAATATATTGTAATAGTTAGTCGCTATACAAGTTATTCTAAATAGTCAGTTCGTTAAAAAAGCCAAAAGTTTTTAAATTAAGCCCAATTGAAATTTAAAATTTGAAATTATACGTCATCGGGAATAGACCAATCATCTTGTGTCGAAGTTTTTTTTGTTATACAAAACCAAGCCAACGAACAAACCAACACACAGAATGTCGAAGTGAACGCACATCCAAGTGACATTAAAATTGACACCACCTAACATCAGTAACATCTAACCTTAGTTTTTTGTTTTGGTTTAATTTTATTATTAATATGAATCAGCTGGATTTATAAAAGTTGAATCAAGTGTTTTACCCATTGTAAACGAAAATATGATTACCGAGATGATTACTGCATTTTTTTAACAATACTCAGTATACAAAAGTCATAAAGGTAAGACTTTGTTTTAATAGTAGGTAGTTACAGTTTATATGGAGCAAGTAAAACATATTTATCTCAGGTTTTATTTTTAGATCTGCCAAGCAAGAATATGGGGATAATTTCTTTTTCCATAAGAGAGAAGGAGACAAATTACACCTAAACATAAAGTACGGCAAAAACCTTCTGATGTGGTTGCCTTGTAATTAACAAAAATGAAATTTTTAGTGCACAATATGCTTAGGATATGTTGCATGTCAAGGTTTGTAATATTTATTATATAATAAACAGTGTATAAGGCCCTTTATTCCTATAAATATTTTTTTTCTAATTTTGACATATAGACATTTTTTGTAATCGCAGCAAGTGTTAAAATAATCTAGAAACAGATTTTGTTAGTGAACCTAGTAATAATTATGATACCAAAGAATGCTGCAGAGCACCTATGAAATTTTAAGTTAAAAAATATGCCATATTTTTAGGCTATTTTTATACCCTTTTCAAAATTTTATGCTCGTTTTT